GGGACATGCCAAGCACACAGGGCAGTTCATCTCCATGTTTTTTCTTGTGGACAGTTTTAATAAATAACTAGAATTTTGGAGCATGCAGTATATGGATCAGCTGCCTCCACCAGCTGTCTTATGAATAATGTACATATCTTTGATTTCCTATCTATCCAAACAGTGTCTGTGTTGGTGCAGTAAATTTTGAAGACATTGACAATGCCAGTGTAGACTTAATCCCAGTTAACCGTATGCAAACTTCAAAACCTCGCTACACAAGGACTGCACAGTAAGTTTCTCTTATTACCATGATTTTGAGACTGCTTCTTGAGTTCTTGTTACTTGTGAAAGGGGCAAAAACAATTAAAGATCTGTTCTTGAGCAAACGAATGAAAAAAAAATTGGGCAGAATGCTCCTTATTCTTTTTAATTACTTGAACGAAGTCTGTTAACACAGGAAGCACAGTGGGCTTTCAGATTCAAGGTTAAACTTGAAGAGTCCTTTTAATAACTAAGTCAGTAGTAAGCATCCTACAGTGGTAACTGCCTACAGTGGCCAGTGTTAAGTCTGTATCAATCTAAGGGACCATTCAGCCTAGGTACACAAAATTAGTCAAGGAAGCTGATACAAAATGAGCAGAACAGATACCTACTGAGATGATTGTAGAACAGATCTTATCCATCTATTTGTGTTATGGTAAGCTTAAATGCAACCTATTTTGACTAAGTATGAATTTGTCATAAAACATTAAGGCCTGATTCTTTATTGTGTCACATTAGCATTATAGTTTCAGGGAAATTATGCTCCTAACACCATGCATCATGCTTTTCAACCAGAAACGTTGATTAGGGTTTTTTTCCATCCAGGAGTTGCTCTGTGACCCAAGTGACCTTGCCATCCATCTAGTACAGAATGGTCATAATGGACTGACAATAATTGACTGTTGGACCAAAAACTACCCTTAGTGTGCCCATCCTGGGAAGTAAAAGCTGCCTGTGGTAACACCAGTGCAATATACTGTCTTGGTATAATGAACTCTTCATGATCAGCAGACTCTGACCTAGGCTGGGATGGAAATCAGAGTATACTCTCCCTCCTGCTGTTAACCTTGCTAGACTAGTTGCACAACCGAGTTTTAAGAACTCACTAGGCACCTTGCTCTTTTTTTTTCAATTGAGAAAGGCTGCATGTGAAGCTAGTCTGAGCACGTTAGATTATACCCCAAAACACCTGACTTGTTCCTAATGATGCTGACATTACCTAACGCAGGCATTGCTGTAAATGCCTGCAGCAGAAAATAGATTTGTGTTACATTCAAGGCTCAAGTGGGAGGACATGGAAGAGAAGGTTCCGAGTTTAACATGCACCAGGAATTTCTGCTGATGCCATTCTGAATAGAGTCCTAACTTCCAAAAAAACTATGTTTATTTTCAAACTATGACATACTTTCATACTTCACATACTTCCTGTTCTTTAGTATTAATACCAGGTCTGTTGGGTAGAAGTGCATGTGCAATTCTTTGATGGATAGTGTGGCTTAAATATTGCCATGTTAAAAATGTGTGATTTTTAACTTTAGCCACTAGATGGGCTTTGAGTTTGCAAAAGCTCCCTAAAGCGATTAGGAACACCTCCTGACTTAGCTAGATAGCAAACTTTGACATGCAAAGGTTTTCACTTTAAGTCTTTCCTAAAGTTGTCTTTAGTAGCTTGAGATGGTATTAAGCATTTATTTACAAACTTTTTCAAAAGTAAGCCAGTAGAAATAACAACATAACAGTAAGAACTAAAAATGGTAAAACAAAAGAGGAAAAAGACTGCTCTGTTTACTTAATCAGATTTTGTCTTTGCATAGGCCTTTCCTTTCCATCCTTTCAGTGATCTTGCACAGTCCACACTTGTGAGGAAACTACAGAAGGGATGCTTTTTTGGGGGAAGCAAAGGGAGAGAAATTGTAAAAATATTTCCTTCTCTGTTCTGAAGAAAAGGCGTAATGCTGGGCTTTACTCACATATGGCAGAGTATGTGCTAAACATTCCTAGTTGCTGGGAAGTGCCTTGGAAGAAGCTGGAATTTCTGAGCTACACCTTAAGTCTGTTCATTTGTGTTTCTTACATCAGTTTCAGGGAGAAAGCACATCCTTTTGCAATGCATCATATGCTGCCACACGTGGGGAATGGCACATCATTCTTCACACAGCATTACTCACTACAGCAGTAGGTTCACCAGCAAAATAAGGTGCTAAGCATTGTACGATGCTCAAACGTGGCCCGTATTACTGCAACAAAACCTATTAATGTCAAGCTTTTATGTGCATAATGTACCATTCTGATTGTTTTATCTCACCTCCTGCATAAGTCATCTGATTTCTCACAGCCTCCATCTAACTTGTAACTTCTGCTTGAATTAGAACATAAAATATTATAAAATGATTATTGAGAAATGTGCTTTAAAAATACAGCACACATAGCTTACAACATAGGGCTGAAAAGAGATTTCTGACTTTGAAAGGAAGTTAGCAGAGCTATTAATCCTTAGCTCTACCATGTCATACTGCTTTGCTGTAGAGCTTTTAGGAATAGAAGCTGATGTGTACACTGTGCTGCAACAGACAGACATATTGCCTGGATTGATTTGCAGCATATGGTATCTTGGTGGATTTGTAAGTTTGAGCAACAGGTTCTGTATTACCTTCTCTGGTATTCTCTGTGCTATTTTCCTGGGTTTTAGTGAGCAAGGCCATGGGCTTCATTGATTTCTGGCAAGCAGGAGACCAAGATCTCTGAGACCTAAAAGATCCTGACATCTCAAAGCTGTGAAAAGCTCAATTCCACATGAAAAATTCTGTGAAGTTCTTCATAAAGTATATTTATTCTCTATGATTGTCAGACATCAAAATTGCCATGATTTTAAGCAGAAGAAAGAAGAAAGTCAGAAAGAAGACATAGAAGTGATCCCTATAAAGGTTTTTACTCTTTGTGTGTTTGCTGGTAGTTCTGGAAAGATGTATAAAGGTATTAAGGCTGATTGATAGACTCTCACCAAAATCCTTGAGAAGTTAGATATATACTTTGGATTTAAAGCTTAAAGACACTTTGTAAGCCTGTAAAATGTAAAACTATCTTTTTAGATAGCCACTTTCACTCTTTCATGGACTAGCAGTTGCACTTCCTGCCTCTAGCACTTGGGCAACAGCATCGGCACTCAGGCATTACTCCAGTGAGACACTATTCTTCCCCAGACCATGCAAGAAACTGGTTGCCATTCAAATTATTAGCAAAGCTGAAACTAGCTAAGAGTCATCTGTCATGTAATTTTGCAGAGACAAACAGGAAGAGTGGTGAACCTGGGCATGTTTTGTATGTTACTCTTGCACCCACCCTCTCTTCCTTTTGGCAGAACAGGAAACCGTCTTCTGTTTTTCTTCTTTTTTCTTAAGGAATTAGAAAAAAGATAAAAGTCATGACTTATGCTGCAGTTGGGGCTGAGCCTAAAAGCCCCTAGTAAAAGATCACTCTTATAAAAAGCTGCTGTGCAATATATATATACTCTGATGTCCTTACCATACAATTTGCAGGATTAAGTGGTTTGCCAAATCCCATTGGGAATCTGTAGCACTGGTAGGAATAAAACTTCATGTATCCTGAGCCCTAGCCTGTGCCTTTTTTTTACCAAACTCTGAGATTTAGGCTATTGAAATTGTGCTTTGCTGAAACTTGGTTTTAAAAAATAATAATTAATTAGGACAAAATGATGGCCATAGTTCTTAAAAGTAAGGCTGAGACACAAGTTAAGACTTGGGAATCTAAGCCATTTTTTCTCCAGTTTTTCTCTGAGGTTCAGACATGGAATAGCTGTGGGAGCCTTCACCCCATGTAAAAAGACATGTCGTAAATGCTGTGACTCATCTAGAAATGCTAAATTTATTGATCTGAGCTTATTAATCAAAACTATGTTCATGATCTGGTGGCAGTCTAGGCTGATCAGTGGGTATTTCCTTAAGCGAGCTGTGGAAGTGCTTTTCTCAGGTCAGACTCTTCATCTTTGCACTTGACCAAAGATACTGGATGGTAATTTAGTTCCTCTCATTCTCTTCCAGGCTTTCATTAAAGCCTGTCTTGGGGGAAAGGGATCAATTACATCATCTCTTGAGGTCTGTTCCAGCCCTGGCATGTAGCATCATTCTTAATATCCTTGGTTTGTGTATGCAGTCCTGAATCTGCTTTAGGATGAACTTGCTTATCTCTTGCATCCTTGGTTATGTTGAGATATATGCCTAAAATCTGGAATCTTCTACCATTTCTTTTCCAATGGCAATGTACAGATCTTTTTTTAAAAAAGAACCAGTCAAAAAATTAAGAAGTTGTGAAAGAACAGTCTGAAAAATCTCTTTTTAATGCAGCCCTTTCTCACCAACAGATCTCCAAAAATCTTTCATAAAGCTTATCATGTTCTCGTCTTACAGCCCAGTACTCCATCAAGTGGACTATATTGTCGGAACACAGGAGTTGTAGGCTTGAATCTTGTCTTTTTATGCTACTAACTATCAAGGTTCCAGATGTAATGCTTTGGTACTTTTTTGTATTTTCTTTGTATATCACTTGTGTAATTTTGTTAGGTATACTGGACAACAATTGTCCAGTGGATCAAGTGGGTTTTGTTGCACTTTTAAATTTGCCAATTTTTTGTGCATATTCTTTTTCTTGTGGGTTTTTTTTTTCATACTTTCTCCACTTGTCTGCCTACTTTAGACTCTCTTCTTGTGTTTACTTTCTTTTCTTTCAAATCCATTAAGTGTAAAATCCATTGGAATCAATGATTTAAAGGTATCTGCTTAACAAGATTCCCTGAACTGGGGTAGAATTGAGTACCTGTTCATATATTTTGCAGAACTGAGACCTCTGCTGTTTGTTTTAGAAGACTTTGTAGTCTGAATTGATTATGTATGTTTTCCTTGGTTATTTTTTCTTTGTTTCTTACTGATTTGATTATTAACTATTTGCTTATAATATTTACTTACTTGTGGAAGATGAATACTGCATTTTGTTTTATATTTCACATAGCTAACCATATACTAGGTAGGGAAGCAACTGGGAGCTAAGGAGTATCTTTTGTGCAGCTGACAGGCTTTCAAAAATAGCCTGGCAGCCACACATGAAAACCAGAATTCTGAAAGAGCTCACATTCTGGGTGCATGTTGGTTGTGAAGCTCCTGTGAAAATCTGGCCACAAACATCACAGTGAAACTTTTAGGTGCTGAGCACTTCTAAAAATCTTATCCCCTGTGT